GCTGATGTGGCGCTGCCTCTGGTATACGTGGCGTTGCCTCTGGTCTATGTGGCGTTGCCTCTGGTCTACGTGGCATGCTGATGTGGCGCTGCCTCCGACATACGTGGCGCTGCTACTGGTCTACATTGATGATGTGGCGATTGCCACCTGTTTCGATAGTTGACGTGGGATTGTCCACGCTGTCTACATGAGGTGACTGGTTGCAAGGAAGGAGGAAGATCTGGATCTGTGGTTGAAGGAGAACAGGTACTCACCTGGGTTTGAAGCCGATATTGGAATCTGCAATGTCTTCATGGTCTTCATGGTCTTCATGAGATTGAGTGTCACGTGGCACTTCCGTGTGTGATCAGGATTATACTTATTATCATTGTTGATGTGGAGAGGGAAGAAGCCCGGAGAAGGAGAGGGTTCAGAAGGGATTACTGTGTGAATCTTCATCTTCTCCTTTGTCTGTTCCCCCTCCACTCTCTTCTATTGATGATATGAGATACTGTTTGAGATATTTCTTCACGAGTTGGAGACTTTGCTGCAGATACTGACTCTACAGGTATTTGACAAATTCTGAGTATCTGTCAGACCGGGTTCATTACAATAATTATTTTTGAAATAATTTTCAGGTTTTTTAGGTTTTTTTTTTTTGTTTGTTGCAGCGACCTTCCCTGGCCCAGGTTTTTTATATTTTCTTCTTTTTTTTTGCAGCGACCTTCCCTGGTCCTTGCCTGGCCTGGCCGGCAGGGCGGCCCAGTTCACAGCCCAGGTAGGCAATGAAAAAACGTTCAGTCTTAGGACTTGATTGGCTATAATTATTATCTAAGTCCTAACTCCTGCGTTTAGTGAGTAGCCATGAATGATGCTCTATTACCTCAGTCCTGAGTCTCAATTTTAATTCGGGACATCCTAAGTTTTTTAATCAATGGCCACGGATGGCTATTCAACCACTGCATTTGACGAATAGCCAGCCATGAATGGCTATTCAACTCCTAAGTTTGATGAATGGATAGACACAAATGGCCATTTGGGTACTAAAGTTTGAGGAATCGCCAGCCATGGATGGTTATCAGAATCATATACAAAGATAGCCATGACATTCACTCACCTTTAATAAATCGATTGGTTACATCATCAAGACTGACCCACGAGCAACCAAACCCAGCCTCTTCACCAACCAGCCGCGATGGTCCCTGTAATTCAAAGCAATGTCAAGAATCAGCAAACTGACTACACTCATTCCTGGGACTCATTTCTGGGACTACCACCTTCCCCCAAATACAATGCATGGTCACTATAGCTGTCTTCAGGCCAACTTTCAGTCTAGATACAACGATAATGATTATTGATTGGAGACTGTAGTTCCTGGGACTAGTTCCTGGAACTCGTTCCTGGGAATTGGGTGTGACCGAGTTATGCGGGCGGCAGGGATTCAGAAGAAAGCATATTCCGTTGAGGCTTTACGGAATGTAATATTTTTGCAAGGAAATAAGCAATGAGAACAGCAGTTACCGAGTTGCGACATCTCACAGCTGACCAGACTTAATTGAGCCCCTGACCACCCACACGCGCCTCCTTCCTGAAGACCACCGATCGCCCTTACCCCCTTGCGCCCCGCAGCCCAGCTATGGCTGCTCGCACCCTGCTCCCCTGCAGCGCCCCTCTCACCTCCCAGGCGCCCGCATGCGCCCCTGGCCGATAACGCAGCAAGCAGCCACTCGCGCAGCAACGCAGCAGCGTGACCACATTGCAGCGTGGGCCTGTTGGATGCCTGTGGGCCTGGCTGAGAAGCTTCCAGTAGCTTCCGGTCGGGGCCCAGTGCCTGTGCCCAGACCCATCTCTGCAGTTGAGGGCCTGGGCCCTTTACAGGGCACAAGTTGGGTGTTCGGGGAATAGCCTGAAATCCTACCTCTTAAGTGGCATTCCCTGCGGGGGGAGGACGATGGTCCACTGCGTGCTGAAACAAGGCGTGAAAATGTGCGCAGGACATCAGATGCGGCGGATCGATGGGCGGGGCGTGTGGAGAACCGGTTTTCCACCAGTTTGTTCATGACATGCCAGTGAACGTGGTGAGGGCGGCCTTGCACGCTGGTGCTTCATGAGGGTTGATGGAGGGGAATATCTCGCAAAGGGAACTCCCCAATAGTGGGTGGCCGTCGTTTTGCGCCCCCCCTTCTTTTTTTTTTTCATTTTCCCACTTCATCGTTCTGTTTGCCAGGTAGTTGGGGCGGTTGTTTTKTCACCCCCCCCCCCCCCCCCCCCCCCCCCCCCCCCCCYYTCTTTTTTTTTTTTTTTTTTTTTTTTTTTTTTTTTTTTTTTTTTTTTTTTTTTTTTTTTTTGTGGTTTTTTTTTTTTCCCCCCCCCCCCCCCTGCTTTTATTTTTGTTTTCTCGTTTCGTTGATTTGTTTTTGTCTTTCGTTCAGCGAGAAATGAGCCCTCGCGGGCCCCTTATCAGACATGCACATGTTGTGGGCAGAGGCCCTCAGCAAGCCCTGTGCCCACCCAAAGTGAACCCGGGCTGAATATTCACAATAGCCCCCCCCTCCTTTTTTTCGTTTTCTCGTTTCGTTGATTTGTTTTCGTCTTCGTTCAGCAAGAAATGAGCCCTCACGGGCCCCTTATCAGACATGCACATGTTGTGGGCAGAGGCCCTCAGCAAGCCCTGTGCCTGCCCTAAGTGAAGCCGTGCTGAATATTCACAAGTGGCCAAAATTTGACATTTTCCATATGTGGGTACTCGGACAGTTGCAGCATGCCAGTTGGTTACAAGGGAACGTGAGCCTCCCAGCTCTTTCCAGAAAACATGGGCTTCGCCATACAGTTGAGCCCAGATACATCACAAAGTGGCCATGGTTCTTCGAGAAAGCAGCATTGTTGACGTATCTACTCCAGGGCCAGTGCAAATGAGGCAAACGGCTGGAGTCTGGAAAATGTTGGGTGTGCCGCCCGGGTGCCCAGCTGGACATAAACTCCGGGCAAGCTTCCAGGCAGCCCCATGGCAAAAAAATAGTGTACAACTGGAATGCAAACAACTTTTGGCTGACGGTCACGTCAGCATTCCTCACAGAATAGAAGATAAGGCACCCCCCTTTCAACCCCTTCAAAACCAATTTATACCCCTCCTCTGCCACCCCCTTGACAGCCAACACTCGAAGAAGGAAAGGGGCCCAAATTTGGTTTCCGGTGGGCACACGTGGAGCCCCCTCCCCCAAGAAAAAAGGGGGCTGATTTTTGCCTCCACAGGGTACCCCGTGCAGGTGACCCCCGGGCTGCACGGCCGGGCTCGCCAAGTAGCCTAAGGTTACATTTTATATAAATCATTATAATGATCAATAGCAGCCATAGTATGTGGATGATGGTTCAGGCCAACAGCAAGGTTACAGAAGGAAGAAGACCCAAAAGGTTACACACGGAAGAAGACTCAAACTCTACCTCGTCAAATTGCTTAATAAACCATCGGTTGAGCTCCTTGGTGCAAGATTGTTCCTGAGCCGTATAAGGTCGCAAGTCCACAAATGAAACAAACACTCCCTCCTCTGACAAATCACAAATCCACCCAATCCATCTCGATTCAGTCAGTTTCCCCTCCTCTCCCAACACAACCATTTACACCTTACAACACAACAATTACTGCCATGCCTTCTCTCAATTGCAAATGACAGACAAAGGAGACTGAGCCCTCATCAACTTCTAAATTCACTATTTCAAGTGCTATATTTCACACAAATATGGCAATGCTGGAACTCACCACATGAAATACTTCGACACAGATGGAAATTGAATTCACCCTACAGTGCCAATGAGCTATTCCGACTTTGCTGGTATATTCCGCTGTTGTGTCCATGTTCATCCAAACTGTCAAAAAGTTTTTGTGTTTATTGAACTTTACTCACTCACCCTACAAAACTTTGGACGTAGGTCAGTAACTCAGTAGGGATACGCCCCTTAGGAAGGTGACAGCCCCTTAGGGAAGGAAAGTTTATGCCCCGCGGGAACCTATCCTGTCGTAGGGAACCGCGGGATGTACAGCTGGCGCACCCGGCTAGAGCGGCGAAGGGGCGACGCTACCGCGACCGTCTCAACGGTTCGCGGGGTTGTTAAGTGTTGTTCCCGAGTTGTCTCTTGTTTTGGTTTTGTTTTACTCCTGCGTGACATGGCCGGGAGGGCTCCCAACTTTGCAAAAAAGGCGGGACCCGATACGCTCGACAAGTGGCGCCGTTGCCGAGGATAACGGCAAACTACCGTTGTCCCTAGCGGAATGACACTCAGGTGTTTCATTTTTTATAATGGATAAATTGATCGTATTCTGATTATTTTATCTCTATTGATTAATTTTTTTTAATCATTTTATCTCTATGGATTATGTGTTGATTATTTATGTTTTTTTTTTTTTTTTAATGTTCCAATTGGGTTTAAATTATCAATATCTTGATATTAATTGTGTAGTATTCTATTATTGTTTTGATATTCATCGATATTATCTATAAAGTTCGAGTTATTGTGTTGAGAGTTGCCGTTTTCATGTGTCATATTTTAATCGTATGTTTTATTACGAATTTTGAGGTATTATTTTAGTTATAATTCTTGCGTAAATTGTTATTGGTTGGAACTACTTTCAAAAGTTGTCAACCAAACGTTGACTTCCTTTTGATATTCTTTTGCAGATTTATTTAGTCATGCATCAGATATTGGAATGATGTATATGTTGGTTGATACTTCCATTCAGTTTGTAGATTATCCATTTTATATATATTGTGATGCATTTCTATCATTGAAGGCATTTGAACTACTATTGAAATTATTTAGGTTGGATCATTATGAAATTTCATGCAAAAACATTTGTTATAAGATGTATCGATGTTGTGGAATATTTTTCGTTGCAGATGGTATAATGTCACGATAAATTTCTGATGGATTTGTGAGCTCTGTAGGTGGTAGTGAGGCCCGCGCCTGAGCTATGCTCCTGGTCCTTACAGGGATGTTGTCTTTCAAATCCTGAGTGGTTTAAGGGAAGGGAGACTAATCAATGAAAGGGAGACGGTGTCTGGTCCTCCAGACTGATCCGGTCGCCTTGCTCGTTTGCCTAAGATATTGAAATGGGTTGGAAAACGCCTTGCTCATTTTGCCTAAGACATTGATCCGGTCGCCTTGATGTTTTGCCTAAGACATTGAACTGGGGCTGGAAATGAGGTCCTCCAGACTGATCCGATCGCCTTGCTCGTTTGCCTAAGACATTGAACTGAGGCTGGAAAAGAGGTCCTCCAGACTGATCCGGTCGCCTTGCTCGTTTTGCCTAAGAGATTGAACTGGGGTTGGAAATGAGGTCCTCCAGACTGGTCTAGTTGCCTTGCTGTTTTGCCTAAGACATTGAACTGGGGCTGGAAATGAGGTCCTCCAAACTGATCCGGTCGCCTTGCTCGTTTGCCTAAGACATTGAATTGGGGCTGGAGATGAGGTCCTTCTGACTGATCCATTTGCCTTGCTCGTTTGCCTAAGACATTGAACTGGGGCTGGAAACGAGGTCCTCCAGACTGATCCGGTCGCCTTGTTGTTTTGCTTAAGATATTGAACTGGGACTGGAAATAAGGTCCTCGAGACTGATCCGGTCGCCTTGCTGTTTTGCCTAAGACATTGAATTGGGGCTGGAAATGAGGTCCTCCAGTCTAATCTGGCCGCCTTGCAGTTTTGCCTAAAACATTGAACTGGGGCTGGAAACGAGGTCCTCCAAACTGATCTGGTCGTCTTGCTCGTTTTGCTTAAGACATTGAACTGGGGCTGAAAGCGAAGTCGTTTTCGACTGATCCGGTCGCCTTGCTGAGTCAGTCGGTTTTGCTTGTTGACAAAGGTCTGAGTATTTTCTTTGTGAGAATAGTCCAAGCTAGTGATTGCATGAGGTTGAATGAGAACAACTTGGAACGTTAATCAACTAAGTAAGATACAAGATTAATGTTTTTGCGATCAGAACAAGTGAAAGATGAAAACTTTTGATGAACGAACTCTTGTTTTGAACTGGTTGAATGCGATGTGGACATGACATGCTTGTTGACAATGTTCTATCTCTTTGTTCAAGCTCTATTGGGTTTCTGCATAGTAGGGTAGTTTGTTAGTGCTCGCCTTGTGCTTGAGCGATAGGCAGGTAGATGTTCACTTCTGTCTTCGCATTTGTCTTTTCATGCATGATTGTTTTGGTAGGCCATTGGCTAGCCTCTGAGTTAGTAGAAGTTCTGGGAGCCTATTTTTCTTAGTTTCTGCTATAAACTCAAAGTTAGTCAAGGTTTAGAGGTATCAACTAGGATAGGATATAGTTTAGTCTTTGGAGGTAGTAGGAATTCTCGAAGCTTTCCTTTCTAAAGGAAGTGGTGCCGAAATTTCTACAGGAACAAAAGAGTTAGTTTATTTTCAGATATCTTCTGAGTGTCAAGTTTTTTTTCTTGTTAGATTTGGTATAGTAAACATTCTTCGAGCACACTTCCCTAAAGGAAGTCCTGCCGAAATTTTCGTGATTTTCATACCGTTACCGGACGCTAATACTAAGTAGCTAAGAGTGCAATATGGAGTTGAACTCCGTTAACTCGATAGGCGATGTCTGTCTTGATCTTTACGACGCAGGTCATTGCTACCTGCGAGTGTTCTTCGAAGTCTTGAGCTTCATCAACTTCTGCTATCAGTTTGATAGTAGGTCGGTTTGCGACTCAACTCCTACCCTCCGTTATACCCGCGCCCAGATGTTTGTGACCCCATAGGCGAAAGGCATTTCCGTGTGAATAAAGCTCCTATTCTCTGAACCACTCTTGAATGGCCATGCAAAAGTTGTGTGAATCGGGATGGGCAGGTATGCTTTTGTTGAGTGGGAATCGAAAAGGGGCATGTGGGACATTAATCTGGGAGCAAAGGGGTCGACCACGTTTTGTGGCATTTGGATGTGAATTTTCATTGGGTTTCATAAGTGTGCGGGTATGTATGGGAGCGAGGACTCGCTCCTAGATTGAGAGTGATATGAATGAATGTGTAGGGTGTGAGTGACAACGTTCAACTATGGTTGTGAGAATGACTCTCCCTGATTTCCCCCGAGACTCGCCCTTTTCTTTTTCTTATTTTGCTCCTGTCGCACGCATCTAGCGAACAGTCAGGAGTAGTCGAGCGCAAGGTTTAGCGCTCGACCTTTGATCGGACCGAGACTTAGTTTGGGTATGGCAAATTGCTCACCACCCGTGACTACTCTTATTTTCTTCCCTCAGGGGAAGGACGAGCGAATCCCATCTCAAAAGGGGTTTTGCTTTTTAAATTATTAGTCGGACGTTGGTTCTAAACCTGGAATTCGAGGTCCTTGTCCAAGACATCCCAGACTCTGGTCCAACATAAAAGGGTTTCCCCCTTGAGCCGGGCCTACGCCTCTCGCCTTTGGTCACCCACTGCCTAAAAGACAGGGGCGCCAGAAGGGCCACATGGCTTATCCTTTAGCCGTGCAATATCATGAAGGAAGAACCCTTCACGATATTTCACTTTCTACACTCGAGTGTCGTATGCAACCCCGAAACCCATGAGAGGATGCGCAGATGTGGGTAACGCATGAAGCGTCGCCATGACAGCAGATCAAGTAAGTTCACATGACTGAGCGTTATGTTTCCCTTAGCATCTGCATTCTGTTTATGCAACTCCGTGCAGACCTCGCTCAGTCACATTGATCTTCTCAGTTATGGTTCAGGATGAATGAAAAAGGGACTAGGCTCATTTGTTTGTCTGAGTTATGTTGTTTTGTTATATATCACGTGGTTGAGTTAGGATGTCCTAGTCGACCGACGCTGAATCGCACGTGGGAGATCAGCGCCCCAGCGTGACGGTCCGTGTACGGGTCCGAGCTAGGCGTGGACTGCGCGTACCCCTTATGCTACAGCATACGAGAAATGCCCTCGGCTGGGCCACGTCCGCGATTGCAAGTAAAAGCTTTCACGTGTGCTTCAATAGCTCGGCAGGGATACGCCCACCCAAGGGATGGTGACAGCTCCCGCGGGTGGAGGTAAGTTGTCATGTCGAGGGGCTCGATGGAGGTATAGCTGGCGCACTCGACCGGAGCGGCTCCGCCGCTTCCCTTTTCGTGAAGCGATTCCTGTGTGACGCGGCCGAGAAGGTTCCCCCAGTGGGGACCGTCCGCTTGACAACGCTGCAGCAGGGAGTCCCCAACTAGGGAGAGCCACACTAAAAGAAGCTTCAAGGCAGAGTTGGGCATGGCGGCCTGAGTGAAGCAGCCATAGTTGCTTTGGGTTGTCCTTTGGGCATTTGGGCAAGGCCTAGTAGTCCGCCATAGCTTCGGCCTATGATGAGGAAGGGAGGAGGAGGCGGCCATGGCTATGGTGGACCTCAAGTGATGCCGACAATAGAAGAGGAACTCGGATATTGATTCTGGACCAGCCATTCAACATTGTATTATTATTTCTTGTATGAATAAGAGAAGGGGGAGATAAGGAGGAGATTGTTGGGCGAAGAAGAAGAGCCTTGTCATTTGTCTATACTGGTGTACATCATCTTCTTCTTCGTC